TTTCCAAGATCAAGACGTTTTCACACATTTACTGTCTTCATTCATTCGTTAATTGGTTTTTCTGTTCTACATTCATATACATTTGCATTTGTTTTTTTATTTATCAAATTTGAAAATCATTGATTGGTTTGAAAATTTTTCTATAAGGTACACATATATTATTTAATACCCAATATCATCAACACCATATAACCCTAATATATTTATAATAACCAAAAAATCTAATGAATACAGCACAAATTGATCTTGAGAATTTATTCTCAGATCCAAAAAACATGCCAGAATTCATACCTGATTATTCAATTGATGAAATTGATCAAGCTTTAAATGATGCATTAGCAGAAATTAATCAAAATCAAGAAGAAATATTAGGTGTAAAAGATGAACCAAATAAAAAAAGAATAAATGATGAAGAATTAATTAATGAAAATTTTAAATTTCAAAAACACAATGAATTTAATGAATTAGAATTAAATATAAAACCTTTATCACCTGAATCTTTACATTCTGATACTTCATTAGTTAATTCACCTAGGCATGATGAAACAAAACCTTCAAATTTACATACCCATCAATCACAATCACAATCACAACAACCACCACAACTTGCATTACCAAAAATTCACAAACAATCACAATCACAACAACATTTACAATTACAACAACAACAATCACAAATTGAAAAAATTTCAAATAATTTTCAAAAACAACAAGAACAATTTCATTTGGAGAAAAATCAATTAATTGAAAAATCCAATAAAGATCAAGCTACTATTAAAAACTTACAATCATTATTAATTGAATCTGAAAAAAATTATAAAAATTTATCATGTAAATTTCAAGATAAATCAAAAGATTATGAATATTTAATTAAAGAATTACACAATTCAGAAATGAAAAGAATTGAATTGATGGATGAAAATAATCATCTAAAGAAATGTGTTAGTTCTTTAACTTTTAAATGATATTATATCATACATCATTTTATCAAAACAAAAAGGAATCAAAATTATAAACATTTCAGGAAACAATTATTGCATATTTTTTTATTACATTCATATATATTTTTACCATATAATTTGCATTTAACAATTATTAAATCATTAATTTTATACATATCGTTAGGTTTAAACTGCATTAGAAAAAATTATTCATATATATTTGAACATTTTGGGATCACATATTTTTATTATTATATTATATATAGCATTATTATTAAAAAAAAAGAGGATTTCACTCCTCTATTAGGAAAATCATGATATTATATTATCAATTATAGCATTTTTAACATGAATATATATTTAATTTATTCATTTATTGAAGAAACACTTTGTAAAGGCTTAAGGCATGCGCGAATTTAAGTGTAGTATACTACAAAATACTCAATACTCAATAAAGACTTCAAATTCGACATGAATTGCTTAAATAAACCGATAGATTTACTCTTTATATAAATCTGATTCTTCACCTGTTTTTAAAATTCTAATAACCTTTGTTGTTGTTGAGTTATTTCAGAATTTATGGAAAAATACCCCCTTGAACAAATTCCTTAAATTCGTGCTTTTTACAGACAGATATTAAGGCTAATAATGATAGTTTTCATGAAATAACACAAGAACAAAGAAATTTGAGGTTTAGTTTCAATACAAAAGTATATATACTAAATTTAGAGGAATAACATGCATATAGTAGCACTATACCATCGGCTTATAAAATATTTGCTGGTTTTTTTCACCCCCATATCGCCAATTTGCCAGCAAACCGGTTTTTTTCAAGATAGAAAATAATATTAAAATACTCATTCCAACACGTAAAACAAACAAACTATATTTGTTGATTAACTCTACATGTAAATTTGTATGGCGTTGGATATCCATTCTTGTGTTTGCATTGAAAGCATTTATATATCACCATAGTACGTTTGCTTTTCGATCATAAAATAATATTGAGTGGGTTTCTTTTCGTGATCTCTATTAATTGAAATGTTACCTGATGATGTTACATGATGATTGATGATGAATTATGACTCATTGTCTCTTTGATTGATAAATTATGACATGCAAATCTGTAAAGATTTCAAGCTCTATATCAATTGTTTTTCATTATGTATAATCATTTTGTCCGTATGAAGTTTAACAAAAATATCATCGATAATTGATTAAAAATACATAATTCTGTTTGTTTTCATTTTATAAAATTGATGTAGTGTGTTTTAACACAGCTTTAAACTTCTATATATAATTAATCGTACCTACAAAATTTTACCTGTAATTTCCACTTACTAATAAATATACATTGTACGTCTATTATAAATCACTATTTTCAATCATTATTTTTTGGTTTCTGAATTACTTTCAATAGCTTTTGGTTCAATTACATGATCTTCAATTGATAAATCTTTACTCACAATTTTTTCAATAGTTTTATCCTTCTCACTTACAACTTCATCAATATCTCTAGAACTTAAATATTCTTCATATTCTTTCTTTAATAAATTTTCCTTTTCAATTCTTTCACGTTACATAACAATATGTAAATCTTTATATGAATATAAGAAAAAAGATGCAGAAATAAAACCAGCAATAGCACAGGCAACAAATGGCCAAATTAAATAAGGGTCAATTAATGCTGATGTAGCAGCTGTAGAAACAGCAGCTGAAATAGATTGCATGAATAAGAAAATAGCCATAACCAAACCTTTCATATGTTCTGGTGCTCTTGTATAAGCAATTTCATAAGCTGCTGTCATTGCAAAACATTCAGATGTTGCACCTAAAATGTATAAAACAACTTCAACCCAAACAGAAATTGGTGAAACACCAGTACCGATATCACAATCTGTTGCATAATAACCACATGGTGAAGTTTTATAAACTTTCCATTGAATAATTGCACCTGCAACTTGAGAAGTTGATGCAATAATAAAACCCGTAAACATTCTATAAACTGGTCTGAATTCAATATTATATTTTCTTAAAGTTGGATAAACAACATAATCTAAGAATGGAATGAAAACAATAATAGTTAAAGGATTGAAATTACTAATCAAATCATTTGGAACACCGTTTGTAGTTAATGAATTGGCTTGTGAATTTTCAATACCACCAACACCACCATCTGTAATGTTATAAATTATGAAAAATAAAAAAATCTTACAAGCATCAACTGTGGTCCAAACATCATTAACAAATTGATCATTCCATGAGATATGCTTTCTCCCGCTTTTATCAATAGCTTCAACGGATTGAACATCACCTCTTGATACGATGTTTGATGGTTTAGCATATTCCCAAAATTCACCAGATCTTAATCTTTTAATCCATCCATTTTTCAATGCATATTTAATAACTTTAAAACTTTCTTCCACAATTGATAATCCATTTGGTGTTTCCTTTTTCAATTTTGGAGCCAATATTAATAAAACAGGAACCATAATAAAATAAATAATACATGGAATTAAATAAGCTAACCAAAACCCAACTAATTTGGCACAATAAGATGTAGCTAAACTTAAAAATGCACCCACATTGATTGTCCAATAAAAAACTAACGTCAATCTTGATATTGTTGGTTCTCTTAGCTCAATTATTCTTTCACCATCTTCTTTAGTCTTAACAACATCTCTTTTATGTTCATATTGATCACATAATAACGGTAATAAGTTTGGTTTGATAAATCCAGTACCAAGAGCCAAAGTTAAAATAGAAATGATTGTTGGAGCCAAAGCAGCACCACTTTTAATAACTGATGGGATAGCTGCAACAATTAAAATAATATGAGAAATAGCACCAATCCAAACACCAATCCAAATGGTTTTAACTCTACCATATTTCTTATCAGATATATAACCACCATATAATGGAGTTAAATAAGCTAAGAATGTTAATAATAAAGTAACAGCTGAAGCGGGTCTTAAACCAAGACCTAAAGCACCTGCATTTTTTTGAGTACCTTTTGGAGGTGCACCACTACCATTACCTCCCGTTGGTAAAGGTAATTGAACAAAATTGTTTAAACGACCTTTTATACCATAATAAGAAGCTCTTTCAGCAAATTCAATAAGACAAATCAAATATGCTTTATAAGGAGCATGACCTATTTTTTTGGGTAAAGTTGCATAATCTTCAGTTGTAGGTTCTGGATATTTTTCATTATATTCATTTAATTCATCAAATTTATGTGGAATATTATCATCATCTGTTGAACTAGATTCCAAAGGTTGATCAGTTGGCTTTATCCTATTTTTAATGTTTGAAACAAACCCCATTGTTAAGTGTCAATTGTCTCTTGGTATATTGGCAAAATCTTTCTTTTGAATGGTTGGCAAATAAGTACTAGACAAGACGCTATTGTTTAATCAAAAGTGATCAGTGATCCAAGAACTGGAAATTAACCTCATTATATCTGCTAGAAACCTTCTTTGGAGCTGGACCCTGATGATATACGATTCAACGTTCATAGTACAAAAGAACCACAGTGGAAAGTAATTAGGCTGCCTTGTATATTGTCATATTAGTGGATGCAGCCCAATAAATGTGGTATAATATTACAACGAAATGTGTGGAAAGTTGAGACTTTCAAAATGGAAAGCGAGCCCCATCAACACTTGAATTAATGAGCTGAAATCTCTTGGTAAGTATTTGGTAAGTGATTGGTTGGAAAAAGTAGCGTTTATAGATACACTGTGATATGATTTGCCTTATGGATTTGGAAAACTTTGCAATGTATGAATGGATTTGCAACAAACGCCATACTTTGGAAGTACCTATCATCTATCTTAACACTTGAAAGTTCAAAGGTAAGCGAGATTGAAGTCCATAATGGTCAGTGCCTCTCTGTATCTCTGTCTAGAATCTAGATTGTCAACCTAGTATAAAAACAGTTGTTCATGGGTCAATTTTCTCAGATGTTTTGATAATTGATTATCACGAAATCATCATATTGGAGCATCAAAATGGATACTGAAATCTTGAAAATTAATACAATCGAACACGTATAATACTTCGAGTTTCATAAATATAATTACATACGTTAAAATATATCGGATAAATTGTATCTCTAAGGTTCAACTTCTATATAATGCCATTCTCAATTTGACATGATCATATTACTTATCTATCTGACTATATAATCATTATATAATTCAAAATAAATACAACTATACAATTAAATATTTAATCAGCTAAAGATACCCATGATACCACATTGATGTTGGGAAACCAAAGCAATATAATTGATCAATTAAATCAATCAACTCTATACGAAACAAATATGTGAAACAAGAATCAATATCAAATAGTAATCACTTGAATGAACAAATGTCATTACATTGATACCAGCATTTATTTAATAATATATTTATCAAATTGAAGTAATATATTCACATGATGAAATACTATCTATATAATTTGAAATTATATTGCTTATAATTAGATTCTAATTTTTTCAATCAGTTACTGGATTAGAGGTTCAAAAACGGTTTATTATAACATTATACTTACCAAAAGAGGACACAAGTACTACTAAAATTATTCCAATTAAAATTTGGGAATTTTTTGTGTTATTTATATTTGAAAAAATAGTGAAATTAGCCGCCATTAAACAAAGTGGCAAATTGTTAACCGCTGATCACTATTAATATCCCTACAATTCAAATTTAAAACAAAGAAAGAAATCATTTTGTATTTGTTTAATAAAGATCTCATGTTCAAATCTTTAAATATCAAATTTTATGAGTTCCATGTGTTGATATTAATCTTGTGGTCATTTGTAGTTCATAACAATTAGTAAATCAACTAATCACACAAAACATAATTTCTAGACATCTATTGCTCCAATTTTATGTTTAATAACTGCAACATTCAAACTAGACCTAAGTAATTTAGTGAACTTAAATTCAGATAATTTTATGATTGATTATATTGATCATATCAGAGTACATTGAAGAAAAGATGATTTTCACATAAATTTATACTTCTGATTTTCTGATCACGTCGTCAAATTTACTACAGTGATTATGTAATCGATAACTAATATAAATAATTTTATACTAATTTATATTACAATAATCACCTTGTTAACTACAATTAATATTTGATAAGTAAATTCATTTAATTTAAATTCAGATATAAAATTAATTAATCCTCAATTCAACCTAAAATTTAAGCTTTAGCTTTGAAAGTTAAATGACATTTACCACAGTATTGACGATCACCATGGTTAGCCATGAAAACACCAGCACCACAAGTTGGAGCAGGACATTCTCTTCTTAATCTTTCAACTTTACCATCAGTATCAACTTTATAGTAAGTTAAAACAGCTAATTTAACTTTTCTATGTTTATGTTTAATTTTTTTTGGAGTAGTATAAACCTTCTTCTTTCTTTTTTTACCACCACCTCTTAATCTTAAGACTAAATGTAATGTTGATTCTTTTTGAATGTTATAATCAGATAAAGTTCTACCATCTTCTAATTGTTTACCAGCAAAGATTAAACGTTGTTGATCAGGTGGAATACCTTCTTTATCTTGAATTTTTGATTTGACATTGTCAATAGTATCAGAAGATTCAACTTCTAAGGTAATGGTTTTACCTGTTAAAGTTTTAACAAAAATTTGCATCTTGAATTCGTCTGCAATTTATTGCTTCTTTCTTATTCAAGAATTATTGTTAAGAGTATTAAAAGAATTTAATGTACTTTGAAGAAAAAGAATTTGAAAATTTTGAAAACTGTTGAAAAAAAAAAAAACCAGAATTCGCGAAGGAAGGCAAAACTTCGCGAAAAGAAATAAAAAAGTCACAGTCACAAAGATGGTGTGTGGATGTGAACTGAAGAGGTAATAACAAAGAAGACTAATTAAATAAGAACTAAACGTATACAAAGTTATATATAGATATCCATATAATTATATATACCAATTAGTACTCATAATTATACTTATCTATATGTATTTATTAGTTTATATCGTTAATATCTATCTATTGTATTTTATTACATAATCCACACGCCACTGATTACATAATCTACTTATAAAATCTGGAGTAATTAACTGTTATCTTTGTTATTGTTTTTGGCACAAAACTAAATTAAATTATAACACCGATCTCAAATACGATTGTTTATGAGTATTGTGACTTTTATATTATTATAGATGATTTATATATATAGTTGATATTATATCATAATGACCATGGGAATATCACCAAAACAATCAAATTTAAAACAATCAACAATACATTCACTTAATGAATTAGAACAATTAAATAAATTAAATAAAGTATTAATTCAACCAATAATTATACATAATGAAACCAAAATTAATGATAATGAATTATATGAGAATGAAATTGGTGATTTAGTTATTCAGAATAGAAGAAAATCCCAAACTCATCATCAACAACAACAACAACCATATCATTTAGATCATATAGATCAACAATATGTTAACATTTTAACTTCTGAACAAAATAATAAATGGTTAGAAAGTTTAAAGAAAATGGTTAGGTTTTTATTATGTCGTGGGTAAAAGTTGGTCTTTTGGATTATTTTATGTTTATTTGATATTTGATGACAAGGCGGTTAATTAGTTTGGATTATTTGGTGTTCATTATTTGGTGTTCATTGAGTTCATTTGTTAGGTTGGTTATAGATCCAAATCACTTTCATCACTTTCAATCACATCTTTTTTAACAATTCTTTTATAATTATTTGCTTTTCTTTCAATTGCACCTATAAAGAGTTAGTATTCATAATCAAAAAACATATAGAGCATATAATATACATACCATTATCTAATAAAAACTTTTCCAATGATTCAATTTGGAAATCTTGAGCATTCTTATCAAAATTTAATTTATCAAATCCAATAATTCTATTTGATTCAACACCATTAATATATATAAGAACCATTGGAAGTACTTTAATTTTCAATCTTGTAACTAAAAAAGGAGCATCTTCAACATTTATCCTTAAAAATTTAGTTGATAAATGTTTTGAAGCCATTATTGATAATTTCTCATCCATTTTTTGACATTTAGTAAAATCTTTATGAAAAAAATGTAATACAACACGAGGTGTTGATGTTGTTTTTTGTAAAGCTGATTCTTCATTAAGTAAAGTTTCAACATGACCAAACCCCTGATCAATGTTATGAGATGCTGCCTTCATTTGTTTTGATAATTCTTCAATTCTTTTCTCTCTATAATTGTCAAATCCTTCTCCATCTTCTAATAGGTCTAATAATTCTTGATCTTCATCAGATGAGATATCTTCACCTTGATTTTTCCTTAATAAGTTATCTTGATATTGTTCTAGTAATTGATCTGTGTTTGACATTGTATGATCTTTGTGTAAACCTTTGTTCTGGTAATGGTTAAATGGTTTGTTTAATACTCAGTTTAGTTTACGCGTAAATTTTTCACGGGTATAACAAAATGAAAACAAAATGAAAACAAAAACAATGGAAAATTCAAAACAGGGTTATCAATCATTTCAAAACTTCCATGATTTCAAATATTTTGTTTAATGATTCGATTGATTGTTGTATTAATTGATGATTGTTTCCATCTTTGTTTATTACTTCAAGACTTTGTATTAAATTCGAATCACTTGTATTGTTAGTACTATTTTATTGTTAATGATTGATTATACATACATTGATTTAACGATCTGATGGATTTCTTTCAAAGTTTCAAGAATTTGTTGTTGGTCTGTTGTTAGTTGGTTGTTACTCATAATGATTGTAATACTATCTCTTTGAATAGAATACTATTGGTGAAGTTGTTGATCTCGTTGTTGATGTTTGAATTTGTTCGCGAATGGTTCAATTTCAAAGTAAATTAGGTGGCTTAAATCAACAAAACAAAACAAAACAATCAACTATTGAACAATTACAAAAGGATCACAAAGGGTTACACAATGAACTCCATCTATGACTTGGATCCTCATATACAGAAGCTACTCTCACTAGACAACTTCCTAGACAATTTGACAGTCTATGAATTCATTGAAGAACTAAGTAAAGATCATTCTCTCAAAAGTACAGAAGTTAATCAATTGAAATACTTGGATCCTAAACCATTCATAAGAACTTTTGAATCTACTTTAAATCAATTAAACAAATTAAATCAAGAAGCTGCTCAAAAACAAGCTGTATTATCACAAGAAGTTTCCAAATTTGAATTAGATCATAGTAGAAATGTCCTAAGTTTAACTTCAAGAACTGAATCAATTCAATCTCAATTCAAACAACTTGATGATCAAATATCTCAAGTCAATTCTTCCATAACACCATTCACTGAATCATTAACGAAAACAATAAACACCAAGGAAAGATCAATTGCTACAATCTCCTTAGTGAGGATTTATAATGATTTTTATTCTATGGGGAAATCACCTGAATTATCTTCATTAATGAATGGTTCAACAAGAGATAAAATCAAATGTGCATCAATATCATCTCAATTAATACCATTATCATCAAAATTAATATCAAATGACCTAGAAAATTCCATACATTGTCATGATGTTATAATCAAATTCTCAGAAACTATGGAACAAACATTATTAAAAGATTTTAATCAATTTTATAAAGATAATAATATCCCACAAATGAAAGAAATTGCAGATATTTTGATTGATTATAATGATGGTATGACTGTTATTAAAAATTTCATTAATCAACATTTATTCTTTTTGAATACTGAAGATGAAGAAAATGATGATTTAATGGAAAATCAAAAAATTTGGGAAAATTTATCAAACCCATTCATACATCAGAATGCAGTTATTGATGAATTTATTTCAAGTCATTTCGATAAATATTCCAAGATTATCCAAGATGAAACTCAGGTTATCCTAAAAGTTTTCAAAAATCCTATACCTGTATTACAATTATTTATTCAAAGAATATTTGCACAACAAATTCAATCTAAAATTGAAACTTTTTTGAAAAATTCTTATTCTTTAAATAATTTAGCTTATTTAAGAATCTTAAATTCATTATTTACAATAATGTCTAGTATTAATAAAGATTTAAAAGATTTTTTCCATGATACTATACCAGGGGAACATAAAATTGATGAATTAAACTTGGTTCTAGATCAATCTTTTTCAGATTTATTCACATCTCATCTAATTGATTTAAAATATTTTGAATTAGAAAAGAAAAATTTAGAATCCATATTTGCTACAATAACTTCAAAATATGAACATTTAAATGAACATAAAATTTCAAATAAATTAAATGCAAAATTACAAGGTTCAACTCATGAGGTTCAAGGTGAAAATGAATATGAAAATTTAAATAGAAGAAGTAAAGTTGGACAATTTAAAAACTTTATGAAATCTCAATTAGAAAGATCTCAATCACTTAATGGTAGAACAAGTGAAGATAATTTACCACAACAACAACAACAAGATGATGATGCAGAATTAAATTTAAAAAATGTTGATGATTTATTAAAATCTACAGTGGAATCACTTTCCAGGATTATTGAATTAACTCCAACTAAAATAAGTGAATATTCTTTAGAAATTTTAGAAATTTTATTAATTGGATTAGGGAAATCTTATTTAGATATATCATTAGATATAACATTCACAGAATTACATCAACAAGATTTTAAACCAGATTTAATAAATTTCCAATACTTATCAAATATTAAAACATCAAGTGAAATTTTATACCTAGTTTCAACATGTATTAGAACTATTATATTACCATTATCAAATAATTCCCCAACTTTGAAAACCAAGATGATAAATTTAACAAATAGTTATATTTCAAGATGTGAACAATCAATAAATTTAATATTAAAAGATACTCTAACTTTATGTCAAGATAAAATTCAGAATGCATTATCTAAACAAAAAAAGAAGGATTTCTTACCCAAAATTGGTGAATTAGTTGATACAGATACATTACCATGTGAATTAATTACAAATTTCTTAACAGATCTTTATCAACAATTTCAAACACATTTAAATGGTGATAATTTAAACACCTTGCTTTTCCAACTTGGTGATTTTCTCTTTTTGGAACTATTTCAACATTTTAAAAATTTTCAAATAAATTCTACAGGTGGGATTGTTATAACTAAGGATATTATATCATATCAAACCACTATAGAAAGTTGGGGGATCCTTGAATTAACCAAAAAATTCCAATTATTAAGAGAATTAGCTAATTTATTTACAGTTCAACCTGAATTAATTCAAAGTTTGACTAAAGAAGGTCAATTGGCTAGTGTTAAGCCTTATGTTTTAAGACAGTTTATTATGAAGAGATGGGATTATAGTTCGAGTTATGTTGATAAGTTGAAAGGGTTTATGTGAGTTTGATTTAGCTACCGCTAAATTAAACATGGTTCGGGATTCGGGATGTATATATCTAGATTTAAAAGTATACTTATGATTTGATATGAGATGATTATGAATGTAGTTGAATTTACCTTTCAGAAAACCTATAAACATTTATTTATTCTTCATATGCTATATATAATTAAAATGCATTATAATAAACACTAAAAAGACTTAACACACCAATTATAATAATCACACCATTTATGAAAAACCCCAAAATGTCCTTTTCTAATACTAAAACCGGTTGATATGATGGTGTAATCTCTGTTGCAATTGGTAATTGAAATTTTGCCTCAGAATCTGCCACCAAAGCTTTAAATTTATTTGTCACTAATGCCCATTTTTGTGGTAATAAAAATATAATTAGATATAGGATCAAATTTAATATACCCATTGTTATATATGCTTTTAATGATCTAAATGGTAATGGTAAGAAACAAATATTTGTTTTATAAGTCTCTGAACTAGTAGTTCCTTTTGGATTATTTAATGAAAGTAATTGGAATGCAGGTTTTGAAATCCCCATATTCATTGAACATGATTTAACTGTAATTTCATCAGCTTTTGCTTTCCCTCCCACTGGGTGGTTATATTCATGACTAACATGGCAATAATCATGATCATCACCACTAAATGCTATTTTGGGTCTTATTTTGGTCAAGATATCTTGTGAGATTTCATAATCTATCACGGTTTGATATTGATTACCTTTCATAACTGGGAATGGTTTGTTGGATTCTCTTAAAGGTCCACAAGGTTGTTGCTCAGGGAATCTATATAATGGAACATGTGATAATAGAATTCTTGGGTTTTCATTAGGATCATATTCACTTAATGAATCTAAGACTTGTTGTGGATGTTTACGAACTTCTGGAGCTATAGAATCAGAAAGGGATATAGTATCTAATAGCACTATAGTATGATTCCCCAATTGATGAATACTTGAAGTATCCCCGAAAAAAGTTTTAAATCTTTCTAAACTTGTTATATTAACCGTATCACCAAATCCAATATCATGATTCCCTGGTAAGGTCATTATAGTTTTCCTATTTGGTTTTTTATAATATATGGAATTAAATCTTTTATATTCTTGAATCCAATCTTCATCATCCCAATTACGACCACCATCAAATAAATCACCAAGGAAAATTGTTGAATCTGGATCTAATTTATTTTGAATAAAATTCCAATTTCTTTTGTGATAATTATCCAATATTTTTTGTGTTATCCAATTTATCAGCCATGGTCTACCTGGATAAGAATATTCATCCATAATTTGTGGATCTGCTAATAGGGCAATTCTATGAGGTTCATTATTTACATTATCCCAATTTTCCCAATTGGACCATGCACAACGATTCATAGCCTGACTAACAACTCTTCTTTCATAATGATTTATTATAAATACCCAAGCAACTAATGTTATTAATATTAATTTCCAATTGAATTTCAAAAATATTGATTTTTTGATATTTTTTTTTTCAGGTTTGAACCTAAATCGATTATTTACTGAGAAATTTAAACCTTCATCATTATTCATCTCTGTTGGTTTATCACCACGACCTCTGTATGATATTTGGTCCATTGGCAGGAGTGCACAGTTGGTTCAATTGTTTTAATTCAAAGAAGGTTGTGGTTTTTGGGAAGTTTTAGTACTTGATCAATGTGTGGAAAGGTACAATTGTTTACGTATAAATTTCGAGATCAAAACAAAAAACGGTTTCGGTGTTACGTAATCAGATTTTTATTATGGCAATAATTAATATGAGTTACAAGAAGTCTTCTGGAATTATTAAGAGAGTTCTAAGTGAATAATGACTTATTTAGATCTGTTATACTGAACTTATTATGTATTGTGGTTTTTTTCCTGGGTTTTCCTGGTTTTTTACTTATGGTTTTATGATCATTTTTCATCTTCAGGCGATTTCAAATAATTATCTTGATACCATTTCAATTGTTCAATAGATTCCAATATATCTGCTCTAGCGGTATGAGCACCCTTTTTAGGTGGTAATTTATTTAACAAGGTTTTATTATGACGACGACTAATCTCAGTTAATGTTGAGACATCAATAATTCTATAATGTAAATGATCTAAAACTTTTGGCATTTCTCTCATCATGAATGCACGATCCATATGAACTGAATTACCTGCTAATACTGCAGTTTTAGGATTTGTATACTTGAGAATATAATCATAAAGTTCTTGTTCAACTTGTTTTAAAGTTTGTTCTGATTCAACAACTTTTTTAGTTAACCCACTCTATTAATAGTTAGTAATGTATAATACTCAAAAGAAATGGGGAGGTACTTACATCACCATGATGTTGAATACACCATTCATTCATTTTATCCATGATTGATTGATCATAATGTATAACACTTTCATAACCTTGTTCATCAATTATATTTAATTTCCCATCTGTTATTATAGCACAAATTTCAATAATATGATCATTGAAAACATCTAATCCAGTCATCTGATGGAGGGCGTTAGTAGTAGTCATAAGAGTGATTAGAATTTTTACATACTTCACAATCAATCCAAACAATTGGATGGAAATCTGGATCATTTTTCAAAGTTGTTAGATCAGATGGTGATTTGATAAATTTCTTTGGTGGTTCTGAAATATTAGGGTTATTTGAAGACATTGTTGGATATAATCTTGGTTTAATTAGATCGGAATGGATTGAAATTCTAGTAATACAACTTCTTGAAACAATGGATCTGAACATCAATTGAAATTTCAATGAATTGCAAGTATTTTATATGTCAAAATTGTACTCGTTTAAAAGTTTTCGCGTATACCTTTTTTTTTGCCCATATAAACAAAACAATACAAAATCAAATCATTTAAATCAATTTCCATCAAACAACTAGCTAATCCCCCTTATCAATTGAATTCCAAAATGACAGGATTGAAAACTTATCCAAAAGCCCCATTATTCTCTTCAAACACCAAATCAGATACTTTTTATTTCTTATATTTCTTATTACATATCCCAATTTCACTTTTAATTGATTCATGTTTAGTTATCCCACAAGAATCACAATTAGATTTACAAACACAATTGATTGAATTCCATATCTCAAGTAATAAAGATTTCTTATTAGCTAATCCACCACAATGGTTAATATTCTTTGGATATATTGAATTATTTGTTCAAGTTCCATTTTTTTTCGGAGGTGCTTATGCCTTATATAAACGTGAGTATAAAAGACAATGGTTCCTCTAGTTATAATACTAATATGTGATATAGGATACACTAGTGTTTACATTTTCTTGGTTATATATGGTCTTGAAGCTAGTTTAAGTACAGCTGGATGTCTATGGACCATTTGGGCTCAAGGTGAAAGCAATGGATTAAATTATGGTGAAATTATTAATTTATTATTGGTTTATTTACCAACTTATGTTATTCCATTTATTATGGCTTTAGAAGTTTTCAGTAGAGATTGGGTTGAAGAATCAGAGGAGAAGAAGACAAATTAGAATATAAAGAAAGAAAATACAAGTTAATTGGATTTTAAACTGTTCAAGTTGTAGTGAATTACTCTTGAAAATTTCTATACCTTCTGCCAAAATACACTGTTGTACTCCAAATGTTAGCACTTAGCACTTAGCACGTATGGTATTATAGGCAGGTTTTGAAAATTGATTTACAACTTCTTATGTAGATCATCGGTGTATGTCAATGATGTATATAAATCAGTACACTTTATTATGACTTTTAGTTAGTCTGATCATGAGAACATTATCGTAAAATTTCATGATTTTCAGTATATTGAGGATTTTTATATGGTAGACCATGCTTATATATATATATATATATACATTCATATGTAATTTTCGATTAAACAACTAATTTAATTAGGTATATAGCACTTTGTTGAATCATTATATCACCAAAATCATCATGATAATTGAAAAATCAGGACATATAATTGAAATTTTTTCAAATTCATATAAGAACTTACCAGCTAAACCTAAATATTCTGAATCTAATAATATATTAGTTGCTAAATCACCAAAACATTTTAAATTAGATCATGAAACTTTCAATAACTTCGATAAAGATAAGGTTAATAATAAATTAATTGGTGTTTTTCAAAAAATTCCTAAACCAGTGAAAGAACTTACAGTAAATTACAAATCTATTATAATGAAATGGAGAAAAATTGATGAATCTTTAACTAAAATATGTAAAATTGAACTTTTTTTAATACCAGGATATGATTCTAAGGATTTATCAATTGAAATACTATTAAATTTAATTAAAAATTTCCAAAGTGATATACCTGCATTTTTAAACACTGAATTTTTTGGTAATGGATTAGATATGATTGAAGAAAACAAATTATTAATGAACATTCATCAGCCAGAAAACAAAAATCATCAATACCTACACTTAAGAATCATATTAGAAAGTTTAATTGCATACCTTTTGTCAAATGAATATGAAACTCGTGGTTCATATGATCATATAGTTAAAGCATATGAATTTAATTATCAAGATCAACTTAAAATTATGGCAATATGGGGAGAAAAATTAACGACACAAAATTATGAACTGATCTTGGAACAATTAAATTACATGATATCAAATGATGTTTTATCTGAATATCAAAATAAGAAGCTGATTGCATTGGTTCCTGGTTATCTAAATTATAACATCAATGGTAATAATGATGAACTTCCACCAAGTTATGGATCAAGTATTAAGGAGTGAGTATATTAATTTGAAGCTGAGAATAAGACACCATTCATAGGGTACTTCTAGTATAACGAATGATATGAAAATGGTAATTTAATTGAATTTCCTTCTAAAATTTCTACACCTTCTGCCAAAATCCACTGTTGTGTTAGTACTATAATGGGATAGGGAATTATCGAATTATAGCTCTGGTATATTATTATTCATAGGCATTAGGCAGGTTTTGAAATTTGATATACAATTTTTTTAGTAGATCATCGGTGTAGCCCAATGATG